GCTGTGTGTGGCTGTCCATATCCCTGGGGAAAATGCAAAGCGAAGCCAGGCAGAGCGGAAGCCTGCTCTTGTTCACGACGTGAACTCAGCACTAAAATATGCTCTAAGAGTAGAGCTGTAAGCAAGCAGATCTGAACAGCACTTGCACTGAATGGGCTGCTCAGTTGTGATCAGCAGCAAACACAAAGAGAACAAGTTCATTATGGCTCCAGAAATACCAAGGGTCATTGCAGGTGTGGTGATAAGCCAGGCTCCTTTGGCATCCCGTGCACCGAGCGATCCCACGGCAGTTCTGGGAGCAGCAGGGATACCTGGCCAGATGCAAACTCTGATGTTTCTGTGTTCTGCCTCTTTTAGTTATATACTATTTTTTAATTCTTAGACTACCAAGAGACTGTTGAATCAACCTCAGGCTTGACTGTGTCTTCCCAGGGAAAGTGGTTTTCTCTCTACTAACTTCTGTGTATGGATATTTATTTTGAGATGAGTTATGTAGCTGTAAGATACATTAGTAGATTGTTTTCTTGTATCCTGCAAGATGATTACATCTTATATGAGATTTCCCATTAAACCAGGGAACTCGAATACCCGAGGCATACAAGGTTTCTTCCTGGGATGCACCACAGCCTGAGCCACAATGGCAAAGCAAGCAGCTTAGGGAAAATTGTTCTGCGACTGGCAGCTGGCTTCCAGCTCGCTCTGTCCAGTAACACGAGCAGCTCTGTCTCTTGTTCCAAAACACAGTATTTTTAACAGATTGCTTATTGGCATTTGTGGACCCAAGGGGTGGCGTTTTGTAACGATTAAAAGGCACTGCCTATTGTGTTCTTAAGCAACTTGAAATGTAATTGATGTGTGTTGCAGCCATGCTCTTCTGGAGCTTTCCCAAAGGGGAAGAAATATTTCCTTTTCAAGTTGAGCAGCGTGGAGCCAATGGATGGAGCAGGGGACAGTGAAGCAAGAGGCGCTGGAGCCTGCTCCCAGTGGTGCTGTGGCCATTAAGTACCCTCTCCTTGCCAGCCACTGGGTGCCATCCCTATGGGTGCAGAAGGGCCCCAGCTTTATGGACAGCAAAGCACTGTAGCTGTCTGTACCCTCCTGCTGATACTCTTGGCATTTCCCAGATGCTTGTAAGCATAGGTTTTTACCTCCCTTAGGGGGTTAATGCCATTGGTTTGGTAAGCTGAGGTTATGGAGTGGAAGGAGGACTGGTCTGCAGCTGTACTGGAGTACCAGGGAGCACCCGGGTCCTGGGGCTGTGACAAAACTCGTGGGCTCTCTGTTTATTTGAGAGCCTGGAGTAACTCCTGTAAAGTAGCTGTGCTGGTCAGGATTCCTGGAAGGGCATCCAGGGAATGGGTGGTTTCTGTTGTGCATGCCAGTTGGGCTGGGTGAAAATTGAACAGAAAGCTGCTTTTCCCCTTGGTTAGCCTAGTGGTACTGGTGAAACGTGAGTGTGTCATTATGGTTTAGGCCTAGAGAAAGAACTAGTCAGGGGTCTGTAAGAAACAAGTCTTCAGTGAATTTGGTTGTAGCTGGCTCCTAGGAAATAAATTCCAAGCCACCTGAAAGACTTCCTCATTCAGTAGTAGCTCAGTAACTTGTGAGTCACTCCGAAAATCAAACCGTGGTAGCTGTACAGTAAGTGAAGAAGTATTTTAATTTGACAGCTAATGCCTTTGTCATATGTATATTACAGTGGTGGCATGCAGTGTTTTAATTGTAAAGAAACAAACAAGCATTAGTTGATATGATGCTTTTTATCTAGTGCTGTCCCGGGGAATACGGGCTTTCTACAGCAACAGGCTGCTTCCCTTTGTGGTTGCTGATAGGCACTGCGTTGCCTCCAGAGCATGCGGGAGGAAGCAAACAAACAAACAAGTCTGGAGGAGGGAAATGATTAGACGAGCCTCAGCTGGTTTTTTCCCCTCTTGAATGGCCCTCTTTCATCAGGATATGTTAGGACAAGTGCTTTTTCAAGCCAGGATATCAGTGGAAGACACAGTGTTCTGTAAAAGTCATCCAGTTCCTGGGTAGCATCAACAGACACGATTTCTCTGCTCCGCACAGAATATACGGTCAACCTTTTCTTTTCCTTATTTTCTTTTCTTTTTTATGGGTTTAGAAGCAAAAGGATGTGAGTTTTACAGCTAGTTATGAATCTTTTTGAATTTACTGACTTCTGTCTGACTCTTGGGCCAGCACAATGCTTCTGCTGTTCAAAGAAAACCAGTCCAAATTAGTATGTATAAGCCACTCGTTTTTATGCTGCTAACAAATGCTGCTTACTAGAGCATTTATCACTGCTGCTGAGGGTCAAAAGTTGGGGATGTTCTTTAATGATAGGATTTCTCTGTTCTTTAGGAGATTTTTTAAAAAAGACTGGAGTTTTAGTTGTTTACTGGAACCGGAGGATTTAAAAGGGGTTTTTAAAACTGGGTTGGAATATCGTGCCTTGCCTTTTTCTCCCTTTTATTTTGTTAACTGTCTTTTTAGAGCAGTTGTATGAAGTGACTGAGACCAAAAAGCGTTCCTAGAGCGGAGATAAGGGACAGTGTTGGGTAATGTTGCTGGTTTTATATGGTGTAAAATACAAGCTTTTGCAGAGAGGCAGTTGGATGTGTTACCTCTGTACAGCACCGTGCTGGTTGTATGGAAATGGGAGCTAATGTGGAAATCGGGGAGCGCAGGTAGCGCTGGGGAGGTACAGGCACTTCGAGTCATGGCAAACCGCGCTTTGTAAGGTTAGCGTGCAGTTTAGGAAACAAACATTTAAATTAAAAAAGAAATCTTCCTCTTAACAGGTTCTTTGGCTTAGCTTTCCAGTTCGTTTCCATGCAGATGAATACATGGTGACAAAAATTTTGCTATGTGGGTTGTCCTTTTCCTGCAAGCGCTTTCTGCTCCTGCAACGCAGCTTTCTCCTTTGCTTGCAACTGGCAATATTCTGCTTTATTGTAAAAGATTTCCTGGATGCAAGAGAGGAGAACATCAGGACATCAGGTGAGATGAACCATCGGAGCAGGAGTTACCAGTGCCTTTGGGAAGGAGCTCTGTCTCTTCCAAGGTTTTTCCTGCTGTAGAAATCCCAGGCAGTACTTTATTAGGGATAAAAGAATATCCTTTGGGATATTTTTTCACTTTCCCAAAGAAATGTTTCCCAAAATTCTTGGGACAGGAATACTGTGAACTGTCTCCGTGTGTGTTACCTAGCTATTCCCTTCCTCTTGCTGAAAAAAGACGAGTGTGCGTGAAGCTGGTATCTAGCTGAATATCCTATACGTGGTGTTGGTGTCGCTGCTTTTGTGTAATGTCTGGCCTTTTTTAACGCTTTCCTGTGAGATCTGGTGTGCAAAGGAAACAAGACTCTTCCTGGCTCACTTATGGAATGAACCAAATTCCCGTCTGCAGAAATTCTTGCCATTAGCATGTGTGCCAGGCAGAGCAGAGCTGGCGTTTCGGATCACAAGCAAACCCTGCATGGCTCCTGTTCAGACACAACTTGCTAGCGAAGTGAGTGGTGAGTGCTAGAATACTGTGGGAGTGTAAATGGAGAAAAGCTTGTTTTAATTGGAGTGCAGTTGTCCTGCTGGCATTTTATTGATCTGATATATGACTTGTGGAGCCTGGAACTTAGGCGAAAATTTTAGTTCACTTTTTAAAAGCAGCTGAAATCTCAAATTTAAACTGATCCAGATTTTTCTGGGAATTTTTCACCTTGAAGATTCAGTTGAAAAATGAGGAAGCTTTGCCTGGGAACCTTGGCTGTGTTCTCAGGGAAGGGAAAAGCTGAACTTGCAGCAAAAGCTGAAAAGACATGAAATTCGTGTCTGTCTTCACAAAAACACTAAGGTAGAATGGAGCATTAGTGCTCACTTCTGCCCAAAGGCAAAGACCCCAGATAAAGTACAGAATAGACAAGTACTGGGAGTAGTAACTCCTGTGGGATCATTTTCTCTAGCATAAGTAACTCCCGTGTAGTGCAACCTCGTAATGGAGCATTTATATTTAGTAGATAGCAGACAGTAATTAATGATGATCTATGTTTGGAAGTGTAGGGCGGCAGAAAATTGGGCTTTGTAACAAGGAATGTCTCTTGTGATGTTTTGAGCGGTGTAGGAAATGCAGTGTAAGCAGTTACTGTGGCAACTAAAAGGTAGCTTAGTAGATGTTGATTTTCAGCCTTGTGGGAAATGCTAACTTTACCGCTTATGTCCAAGTCTATTTCTAAAATGCTCGCGAGTGCATTATGGTACTATGTAATTAGGCTTGTGCTGGTGCTTACTGTAACTACTGATTTTGTTCATCCTTCTCTTCAGTTGTGTTCTGGGGCCTGTATGTCATTTGACTCTGTGGAAGTTTCGTTATGTATTTGCACACACTGTGACCTGCCTTCTTATCAGTAGTATTTTGCAGGATGGCTGTATCTAGCCAGAGCAAAGCAAAATCTTTGCTATCGTGTCGGTTGTTTTTCCTCTGAGGTTTCAGTGCAGTTTCCTTTCTCTTGTGATGCGCGGGTTTTGGCTGCCCTCCCTTCCTCTTTAAATCTGCAGGCAATTTATGGTTGCATGTTCTTGTTTTTGCGTTCCAAAGAAATCTCAGGAACTGAAATTGGTAGAAACTGATTGACTCGGAACCTGATCTTCAGTCATTTTACAGGTCTATAAGCCTGTAAAAAGTCTTACCCTCTACTGTTTTAAGTTGCAGAATATGATAATCAAATGATAAAGTCATTTCCAGCCCATGACAGCTCAGGCAAGTATCTCCTGCAATGGCCAAGTAATAAAATGTTGGTGGAAAATGACACATGAATAATCCATGAATAATCCTGGAGCCATGCCGTGCAAGTGGCAGGATCAAACTTTGGGAACAGCTTCTCATGGCAAAATCCTACTATGTTTTAGTGAGGGGAAGCCCTTCCTTCCCTAGGCATACAGTCCTGAGCACGCACTTTGCTGATATTTCCTTTCAGTTGACTTCGTCTGTCATTTGTTTTCCAGCCTAAGCGAGAGCTTTTTCATGGTGAAAGGCGCAGCCCTTTTCTTACAACAAGGAAACAGCTCCCAGGGCCAGCGAAGTCTCCAGCATCCTCACAAACATGCAGGTAGTGGATTAAATCACCTACTGAAATTCTTTTTCCTTCTTGCTTTGCTGCTCATCCTGTCCATGTGACAGGCTAATAGCATGCGTGGGTGGGTGGATGACTCCTCTAACTGTCATAGTGGGCCTTGTACAACCTGCTGAGTAAAACCAGGTTTTCAGCCCACTTGATTCGAATGGGAACATATGATTATTGAGTCTTTGTTTAAACTTTTGTCATTACCTCAGAACTGGAGTAGAAATTTATTCTCTGCAGACATTATGGCATTCAGCATGGCATTCTTTAGGCAGGGAAGCCTGCTGAGCCAGAAGGTCTGTGCTGAATATGTATCCCTGTTTTCCACAGCTGCAGATGAAGAAGTGTCACTTGTGCTTCAGTGATTTGATCTTGGCCTTCCCCTTTGGCCTGTGGGGAGGAAGATTGGATGGGCTGAGTCACAGGGCTCTAGCACCTCTTCTGTAGTTACCGAGGTCCTGATTCAGCATGGCAGGGACATTTCTCTGAGTGCTCTCCCAGCCCCCAATAATCTGAAGCTTGGGACTTTCGGTGCCAGCTGACAGCATTTGTTCTTTTGAAACTACCTGTTGCTGGGTTTGTTTGATGTTGCCGGTAAGAGAGGAACGTTTTAACAGGATTTGGGTCTCTGGACAGACGTGTGTTTCTTAGCTCCTTATATCCCCTTTCCTGGTTTCAGGAAAATCCCCTTTTCGGTTAACTCATCACAATCTGGCCTGTAAGAGTTTGTCACAGTTTAAGAACAGACTGTCCTTCTTCCCCTAGTCCCCTCCAGTGTGCCAGACTGGTGGGAAGAAATGGTAGGGAGTTGTATGGTGAGCGTAAGTAAGGATCGATAAGCAGATAGGGTGTTCAGGAAAGTGGATTCTACTTACCCAGTGTTTTTATGCCTTCTGTTTTTGACAGTTTTGGAATAAGTGATTACTGGGAAAGAAGAAATAAGATCATCAGGGCATTTTGAGAGCAGGAGCATGTGGGAAAGGCACAGTGTGGTACTGTGTGTCTGCTGCTTAGTAAACACTCCAAGCACAAAGAGGGTGTTTGAATGCCAAGCTTGGCTTTGGGTTTCTTTAATTGTCAGCAATTTCATATACCCAGCAAACATCCTACGAAGGCATTTTATCTTGTATGGAAAGTTATGAGTGCATTACAGAGTTATTAGATGTGAACTTGTTTTGTTTTCTTGTAGATACCTTGTCCCTTTCACTTGCTTTCACCAAACAGAAATGTACCCACTGCTCTAGAGCCTAAGGGACTTGTTGCATGAACAGCACTTTGTTTGAGGTAGAAGCGATCCATCACCCAAACTGGGCCACTCTTGCAGCTCTTCCTCAGGAATTTGTGTTCAGATATACCCTCCATAAGGCCAGTGGGGCTGATCCCGTGATGCTGTGTGTGTTTCACAAGTTAAAGTTTTTCTTTTCTCCTTTGTTCCATTTTTTTTTTTTAATCAGAGTTGTTGTTCCTACCTCTGCCTCCCCTGTCCTTAATGCCCATATCTTTCTGTCTTCTCTAAGATGCTGTAACAGGAAGAGTATCATCATTTGTGCCAGTCACACATGGTCTCAATATATTTGGTAGCTTCTGAATACCATAAGGTCAAGTTCTCACACAGCCAGATAATGCTCATCCAAGAAGCTCACTTCTGTTAGTATTCTCTGGGACAGCAAAGTTAATTGGCCTCCCTTAAATGGTATTTTTTGACTTAGAAACATCCAGTTTCATTAAAGGTCAAGACTCTGCCCATTCTTAGTGCAGCAAGTGTTGAGACCCTTTCTGATTTTTTTTTCTCTGCTTTCTCTCCAGGTGATTTGCCCCAGCACCTCCAGGTGATGATCAACCTCCTTCGCTGTGAGGATAGGATCAAACTGGTAAGAAAAGATGCATTTTCCTGCTCTTCTTTCTGTTGGAGGCATTTGAAACAGACCTGTAAGGTTTTACAAAAAGCATTGGCAAATCCTGGGTTTCAGAGTCAGCTTAACTCTGTGCTGGTTGCCAGCCCTACACCGTTCTCCTGTCCGCTCCTTTTGCCCTGGTCCTTACATCCAGGTAATGAGTTGGGTCAGGAAACGGATCTGTCTGAAGTGTGTTTGTTTTGTTAGATTTAATTTTCCAGTCAGCTGACAAACACTAATACCAGAAAAGAGACAGGAGCTTGCTGATGCTAGTGGACACTCTTAAGTCAGTCTTGAAATTGCATCCAAATGGGGCTGGGTTTTCTTTTAAAGAAATCTGCAGAGGCTATAAAAGTCACTGCAGAAAAGTCTATGTCAATTATCTCCTCCAGCATGACTTAACATATTTCAGTGAAGGCTTGTGAGTGGAAGAATCCACTGAGCCTGCCTCTGTTTTCAGTTCTGTTCATGACCAACCATTTACCAACTTTCTAGTTGAACCTCTTTGTAACAAATCTTCAGGTTACGTTTTGTAGTATTTCTCCAAACTGGAGCAGGTAATCTAGGCTAATCTTCTCCCTGCCTGATGCCAAGTCAAACTGGCAATTAGCCTTGCTGGAAGATGGGCCGTCTCTCTCTGTGTCTTTCATACTGCAGCTAAATAAAGCTTTTGGGCACAATTACACCTTAAAAAAAATATTAGGCAGCAATCGAAGTCATAATTATCCAAAAGCTAGTTTGCAGAGCTTGATGACCTTTCTCTAGGCTGTCCGTTTGGAAAGTGTGTGGACAGACCGAGTCCGGTACATGGTGGTTGTATACAGCAGCGGACGACAGGATACAGAAGAGAATATTCTGCTGGGTGTGGATTTCTCCAGCAAGGAAAGGTATGTCTAAGGCAAGGCTGGGCTTTGAAATCAGGCAGGCTGGGTTCTCTGGAAAGCCTGTCAACACCAAACTGTCCCCAAGCAGTTGGTTTACATGTATCTGCAAATTCTAGCAAGAGAAAGGACATGTGTTGAGTCTTCTGACCAGTTATGAGGGAGAGAGGGTTATTTTTGTTCCAGAAAGCTTTCCCTTTTCTTGGATCTCTGGGCTCTCTGGGCAATTGTGGGCAAAGTGTTTAATCCATCTGTAGGGCTGTGGCATCTACTTCATCTGTGGTAGTTTGCTGTCTGCTCACTACAAAATGCTCTTGCAGACACATTTGCAAAACTGGAACTTATTCTATCCACCAGACTTAAATCTGTTGATGGTATGATGCAATGGAGCTGGTTTTTTGGGGGGTAGCTTTGTTGCCAAATAACATCGAAAAACAATACTGCAAAAGTACCTCCAAAACCAATAAACAAATGTGTCAGTAATGAGCTGTTTCTTTTGTCTAACTGATAAGACCACATAATATTCTGAAAGGCAAATAAAATATTTTGTTATCACAGACCCTCTCACATTACTCTAGTTCTAGGTGAGTAAATGAGGCAGAAAAGCTCTTGGCTTGGAGAGACAGGGCTGGTTTGGCAGAGCTGGAGCTAAAAGTCAGAGCTTCCAGACTGTTGTTTCTGTTCTCCGATGATATAGCAGGCTGCCATGTTGTGCTGGTGCAGCCAGTGTGACTTTTGTTTTCTTTTTGGAAAACCTTAGTGGTTGTTTCCATGGCTAGAAGTGGAAGGGGAGAGCTTCTGCACTGCAGTGAGACCTGTAGGGAAACTCCTAGCCATGCCTTCCTAATAAGGTTATTGTCATTGGCTTTGATGCTGCCTCTTGTATATGCTGATAAATTACTGCTGTTAGTGTTACGGAGGAAATTCTAATGTAGCATTTCCTTATGGCACACTTAGTGTGCAACAGCAGTGAATGTTTGCTATGTCATCTTCAAATCTGAAACAACTTTGCGATAATTTGCTCCTGGTGATTATTGATGTGAGACAAGAGGAAAGATGGAAAAGTTATGGCAAATCCATTATAACTGTAAGGTTGGCTGCCATTTTAATCACTATCTCCCCTGAAAGCCAAAGTTTTTGTTAATTAAGGGTAAGTCTCACGCATAAAGGAAGTCAGTTGGCATTAACAACTTTATTGAGTGACTCCATGGCTCTGTGTTGGGGCTGTAAGCGTTCTGACTGCTGACAGTTTGACTAGTCAGGCGCTTTTGTGGGTTTTATTCCTTTTACATGTGTTTAATAAAAAACATTTTTTCTCGCAAAGCTCTAAAAGCGCACATTGTACACATGTGTGTTCAAACTGGCCTGTCAAATCCTTTGATCCGCTGTAGAAAGAAGGTGAAGGCTTAAAAAAGAAAGGAAAAGAACAAAACAAAACCTGAGTTCTTTGCTAACCGGCTGTTGCTGAATGCATCCCAATTTCCTTTAAAACTTTAATATCTCAGTAGCTTAATTATTTACTAGTTGAAAGTAACTGGCTTCCATTATAGTATGGTTTTCTTGTCAGATTGCATCTCTGAAATGAAAGTGTTCTTTTGGGTTAGGTAAACTCATAAAATCCGTTTTTGTCTTTTCTACCAGCCAGAGTGATGAAGCGAAAATCGAACATGCAGTCCTTTGAGAGGCCCCTTGGGTCCTCTTTGGAAAGGGCAGGCTGCTGCTCTGCCACCTACCAAGGCTTGCTTTCTGCCTCGATTTAGTGAGCTGAATCTCTGCAGCCAGATCGCCGTGATCTGCTTTTATGTCCTGTTAGAAACTGCCTTGCACTGAGCTTATGAGGGTGAGAGAGCAGGAAAGATCATGGGGCAAATACTGCAGTGCTTTCTGGCAGGCTCTGGAGGGGGAGAGAAGAGCTGGTAATTTTGATTCTTGTTTCTGTGATGTTTCTCCAGTCCTGTGGAGCAATCAGCATGCTAATATCAGAGTAGACTTTTAGACTTCAGCTGTCCGTCTCCTTGTGTGTTATGCATTTGGTGGCCTAAGATATTACTAGGAATTCCTAGAACAAGACTTGAGGATTTTAAAAATGAAAGAGTATTAATAATTTAGGATATTGGCGTGACCGCATTGTGGCCTATATTTAACATCCTGTATAACAATCTCTCTTCCAGTAAAAGCTGCACTATAGGAATGGTTCTTCGTCTGTGGAGTGATACTAAAATCCATCTTGATGGTGATGGGTAAGAAACCACATTAAAAGGATAAATGTGAATGTCCTTCCCTACTTGGGGGCTGCTCTAGGAGAGGTTCTCCGTCACCTTGCAAATGAAGTTCCAATTTTGGATTCTTGGCTGCAGTCCTCTGACTCAGACAGTGAGTTTTTGTCTTGCTGCCCTCAAACTGCTCGGTGGAACCTGTGATACCCAGTGAATGTTCTCTGAAATCCCACTTGAGGGGTGGAGCTCCCATCCCTGGCAGCCTGCACCGGGAAGGGTGTCTGCTTGCCGTTCTTATTTGGGAGGATGTTGGAAAATTAGTGATACAAATTCTAATCCCTCATTCTTTTTGACTGTGAGTGCTCCTATAGCTGCCTTGCAGTAGCTGTTTGTAGAGTGCAGCCCATGATGCAGAGAAGAGCAGGTTCTGACTGGTTTTTTTTCCCTCTCTCTGTTAGTGGCTTCAGCGTGAGCACTGCAGGGAGAATGCACATCTTCAAGCCAGTGTCGGTGCAAGCCATGTGGTATGTGTGTTAATTAGCTTTACTGAGAAAGAGACTGTCATTTCTTTGAGTAAATTAAAAATAAATAAACAAACTGCATTTTAGCATTCTCCATAATTGGTATTTAGTGAGCTGCAACAGAGATGCTGCTTCCCTGTGTCAGCAGGTAGCAGTACTATAAAGGGACTGTGAGAATACTGATCCGAAAACAGGAACTTCTGCTTCTGTTCAGAGCAGCTATGTGCTCTTCAACATAAGGGAAATGGCACTAGTGAGATGATGAAATATGAAAGACCAACTTCAATTCATCAGGCTGCAAACCCAGTCTTTCTTCTCTCTACATATTTTTCTAACTGGCTGAAGGAGGAGTCTCGGGACCCATTGCCAATCTGATGGCATTCCCTGTGTTCTGCCTCGTTACTGGGGCCAGTCTGGGGATCCTGCACTCAGAAACTTTCCATGCCGCCCTGGGTGCCTGTTCACCTTTCAGCTCCTGTCACCCCTCCCGTGTGCAGGGATTCCAAAACACTGAAGCAGAGGTGGCTGAATCAGCAGCAGCTATGCCAGCAAATTCCTTCTTGAAGAGGCTGCTACCCAGCCCCACACAGAACAAATGGATCTCTTTCGGTCTGGGCAGTTTGCTGGCTCCTGTTGGAGCCTCGAGAGATCCCTGTCCATGCAGCATCTGATAGGGAAAAAATACAGATGTAGAGAAGGGTGTCATGCTAGGGATGATTTTGTACAGAAACAAATGAAACTCTTGTTTCTGTCAGTTTTGAACTTGGCCCCTCCTATTGGCAACCTTAGATGTGGTTAATGTATTCAGTACAATGACATCTTCGGAGTAGAGCCTTAAAAAAAGAAAAAAAAAGAGGAGGGAAGGAAGGAAAAAGTAATGCTAGAATTTGCAAAAACAAATGACCCAATCTGGGCCTTGTCCCTGGAGCATGTCAGGGGCCAAGAATGCTGGTAAATATGTGTTTGACTCTTTGCTGAAGGTGGTTTGAAAATTGTCCATGTTCTTTGTTTTTCTTTGGTCTGGCTTTACAAGTTAGCTAATGATTAGATCCCAGAGAGACTTGTGCCTTGTGCTTGCCTGTTAATCAGGAGAAGATTTCAGCCTCTGCCTTGGACCAGCTCTTGAGAAGGCCTCCAAGGTGCAGTTTGTGCCCTCTTTGAACTCTGATGCAATACATCTGCTGCTCTCAAAAAGCAAACTGTAATAAACAATGCTGAAAAATCTTTTCCTCTGTGAAAATCATTTGGATCCTGCTCTGTCTGTTCCTGCTTCTCACGTCTGCACAAATTTGTTCTCCAAACTTGCAGGTCTGCTTTACAGATCCTCCATAAAGCCTGTGAAGTTGCAAGAAGGTACAACTACTTCCCAGGTGGGATGGCCTTGGTCTGGGCCACATACTACGAAAGCTGCATCAGCTCCGACCAGAGCTGCATCAATGAGTGGAATGCAATGCAGGACCTGGAGTCCACCCGCCCCGACTCTCCAGCCCTGTTTGTTGACAAGTCAGTTCTGAATTTTATTAGAAAAAGTTGGCTTGGCTCACAAGAGAAATCTCCCCTTCTCCCTTTTCTTTCTCCAGTGGTTCATTTCCTTCCTCTTCATAAAAGTCTTAAAATGTTTTTCTTTGGTTATTGTCATAAAAATTGCTTTTAATACAAGTCTTTACCACCGCTCCTCTGTACAGTATGAGTTGCACCGTACATTTACTGCCAGCTTGGAGACATCCTCTCCTTTTCCTTTTCAGGCCAACTGAAAGAGAACGAACAGAGCGGCTCATTAAAGCCAAACTCCGGAGCATCATGATGAGCAAAGACCTGGAAAATGTGACTTCTAAGGAGGTAAATACAAAAATTCCTGCTATCTTATTCTTTCTGCTAGACTCCTTTTCCAGAGAGTGCTGCACTGATGGAGACACCATATGACTAGGTGTCATTGGCTTTTCAGTTTGTGTTTCCAACTGTTCTGTAAAGGCTCTGCTCTTTGGCTTTGCTATACCTCTGTTTCCCCAGCAGGGAAATCAGGGTAATACCAAAATCAGAGTGCATTTTTCAAGACCTTAGCAACAAGTATGTGACTTTCAAGCACATAGTGCCTGGTGCTTTGCCAAAAAAGTGGCATCAGAGGTGATGCCTGCATTACAGCTGGTTGTAGCACATGGAGGCCTGTCCAAGCAATGAATTTGCAGACACTTATTCCTCAGTGCATCCCTGTGAATTACGCAAAGGCAGCTCTCAGAAGATGCGGTTGGTGGCTGAAGGCCTCGCAGCTGTTAGTGTCCTGATCTTCACTTGCTCATGGACAGTGCAGAGCACAGTATGTGCCTTCCTTTCTCCTGTCGGCTTCATTTTAAGGTTTTATTTTCTTTGTTCCTGAACAAATGTGAGAGGGGCTTGCAGACAACATTTTGCTAGTGAGTTTATGGATGGAAAATCACAAGTCAAGGCTAAAGCTAGTTTGGATCCATCCCAGGCTGGTGTAAATACATCCAGCTGCAGTGCAGACATACTCAGAGCAAATGGAAATAGTTCTTTTTGGGTTGGGTTTTCGTTTGTTTTTCAAGGGAGGCTATTAACATGCAGGGCTTTCCTTCCTAAAGCTTAGCACTGAAGTGTTCAGATACATTCCTGTGTAACAGCAGCGTTACAAGTTGTAGGCGTAAGCTGAGAACTCGTCTGTCTGTGTACGTGTTCTTAACCCTTGGTGCAGTCAAGATGCTTTGATTTGCTGTAACCATTTTCCATGCTGGGTTAAACAAAGTTGTGCTGCTTTGCATTGCACCTTCCTGAAGCTGACGTGCAGTGAGAGGACTGTAGGTCTGTGCCCTGGTGTTTTAAAATGGGAGAGTACTGGAAATCTCTCTCTCCACCAGTGCTGCTGCCATTATTCACTCCTTGCTTCTAATGGGTTTCACTTTTTTTTTTTTTGTTAGCTGCTCTCCAAGGTCTTGTTTTTTATCTCTCCAATTATTTTTAAGAAGCAGGCACCCAAAATACATTTTTTTTTAACTCGGGTGTTATCATGAAGCTTTATTCACAGATCTTAAATTTGAGGGCCTAGGATACTTGGAGAGATGCCATGTAGTGAGATGCCTTGTCTCCAAAAAGTCGAATCCCTCTTGCTGTTTTTAATGAAGTACAGAAAAAGTGTTTTACAAAGGAGTGCCAACAAATGTTTCTATTGGACAGACATGATTCTAGCTGGTATCCTTTGTTTTCTGCTCTGCAGATACGAAATGAGCTGGAGAAACATATGAATTGCAACTTGAAGGAATTCAAGGAATTTATAGACAATGAAATGCTGCTTATCCTGGGTCAGATGGACAAACCGTCTCTGATTTTTGATCATTTATATCTGGTAAGCTGCTGTGTTAGGAGCTCCTGAATAGCAGGAGGCTCAGTGGGAGCGATCTGACAAGTCACTGGGCTTAGAGGAAGCTGGATTTGGTGTCAAGGCTGACTTGTGCAGCATGAGCCAAGAGGTACAGCCTGCTATCCCACCCTTTGTGCAGACTACTCCAGGACCCATATTGCTTGTAAAAGCCTGCTGTAGAGAAACCTTTTTTTCTAGCTGTGTTCTTGTTTCGGGGACTTGACAGGGTTCTTTCCTGGCAGGTTGATCCTGTTTCAGGACATAGCATGGCATAGCTCAACTTCTGTCTATGCACGTTCATTTTCTATTTCTAGCAATGGAGATTTTGTTTTATGACAAACAAAGATCTAGCTGTGGATGCTGCCCCGATGTGACAGCCATTTGCTCTTTGACTCTGATTAGGGTCACCGTATTGTTTTTTCTCGACTGAGCCTATGAAGTTCTTTCTGTAGGCATGGCCAGAGCTATGTAAAGAATAAGGCTAAAGGTGATATGCACTTGGTGCAGAAGCGAAGAACGATGTGTGTTTTGTCTAAACTTTTGCCACTAGATGGTACTCCAAGCAAAACCAGGCGGAACAAAGACTTGCTTGAGATGAACACATTTGTGCCCATTATGCTTGGGTCTTTTTGTTTTGGTTTGGTTTTTTGGGTTTTTTTTGTTCTGGACAGAGTCAGAGGAAGTGCTCATGTTTGAGGGCAAAACCTGCTTTTTAAACTGTTTTTAGCTTTCTGTTTTGCAGATATGGGGGGCATACAAGGTGTAACCACCCCCATAGCTTTCAGGATTTGCCTCACTTTTCATATACCTGTGATCCCAGTCATGCTACATATAATCATTTTCTTTCCCTGCACAACTTATCTCTGTTTAAAAAGTCAGAGTGGCCGGGGCCGGTGATTTGGGATGTGCTCAGTCACACGCTGGCCTAGAACTATCTCCTTAGATGAGGATGTCTCTGCCTGTTTGGGACAGGACATCTTTGTGCTGAGCTGCAGCGCTGGTTGCCCTGGTGCCATATTCCTGTTTCAGAGGCTATTATCAATATTTTAGTCAGCAGCTAAGGAAGATTGCTGAGGCTGGGGTATTGCAGAACTTAGGAAACAGGGAGGCTCTTGGGCTCCTTTGAAATGTGTGTTTTGTGGCTGTTGCAGGGGTCCGAGTGGAATGCCTCCAATCTCGAGGAGCTGCAGGGCTCAGGGTGAGTACAGCACCTTTCAGACACCAGCCTTAGACTCTGAAACCTCCAGTCGTTTGCCTTTAACTTACATTCAGATTTCTTGCAGTGACATATAACATTTGTAGACTGTAAAGATGAGTTTGGGCCCATTCCTAGTGATGTGGGTAACTTACCATCAAGACCTTGGTTGAGAAACCTTTCCTACCTCATTTCTGTCAATAACATGTAGAGTGAAAATAACAAAGCTTCTTGTTTGTGAAGTACATCAAGATCTCAGAAACCCTCACAATGTGTAGCAGCTGAGCGTGAAACGGCCATACATATTGTTGTGTCATGTGTGAATTCCTGCAGGCTGCAGAAGAGCAAATATTACGGCGCTAAGCTTAGGAAAAAACTCTATCTAAATGGAGCAGAACTTCCTGTGGATGAGCAATCTCCATCTCACCTGCCCAGACAGGCAGCTGCAGGGCTGTCTTTCACCACGCTCTCATCACCGCACCGCTTCTTGGCTTGATTTACTTTCACGCTTTTTGGACGAGTGAGAATTTTGCATATAAATATTTGCTGCTTGCCCAAGGCATACACCAACCTTGATGTGAGAATCTGAAAAATATTGCTCAACAGCATGACTAAAAATGTTTAATTTGGAGTCCTTGAGAACAGATGTCTGAACATCTTTGAACAAGTAAATCAACCAGTGCATTAATACTTCAGATCTACGGGGAAGGCATCTTGACGTGCAATGTCTAAAGGTCAAAGCTGGACAGATTCTGAAACAAATATCCTGTGTTCTCGATTTGTCTGAATGATAGGAGGTAATAAATCAATATGGACATTCGTTCTCTCCAGGTACATTGTAATCTCTGCTGTAATCTTTGGCAGGAATCGAGAGATACCACATGACTCTTGTTCCATATTTTTGGTCAGAAAGAAGAGAAAAGGACAGCTTTGCAGCTAAAGCCTGCAGTTGAAAATTGTGATTCCTGGGGTCTGTTCCCACCTCTTGCCCAAACGAATCACTTGCAGCTGATGCACTTTTTTTCTTTCGCACCCTAGAAGCTGTTCATGGCACACAGCGAGGAGTTTCTGATTGGGTTACAAAGGCTCGGCAGACAGGAGAAAATAAACTTCATGTGCTCACGAGACCTCAAGGTCTTTTGATGCTTTGAATGGGATATGCCAGTGGCGAGAGATGGGTGAATGGACAGGCCCTGCACGTCATGTGCGTGACCTGTGTCACCGGGTGTCCCAGGGGTTCAGGATTAGAGCTCTAGATAAAATCTTACAGCTCATGTTGTGTCAGATTTCACGGACTTCACAATGTGTGTCAGTTCCCTTTCATGACCATGGCAGTTCAGCTTCATTTTTCTTTTTGTTCTCCACAGCATCGACTACATTTTGAATGTGACCAGGGAAATTGATAATTTTTTCCCCGGTTTGTTCGCATATCACAATATCAGAGTGTATGACGAGGAGACAACAGACCTCCTGGCTCACTGGAATGAGGCATACCACTTTATAAACAAGGCCAAGTAAGTGGGCTGGGAGATGTGACTTAGTGTGAGAGCACATCCATGCCATGGGGTCTGACACTGTGCCCTGTGGGTTTCATCCAGCATGGAGCTGGGCCCTCCCTGAAACTGCACCACCACTGAAGGAAGCAACAGGGCTTTTGCTTTACTGCTTTTGCCAGGAGTTTTCTGCGTCCCTGGAAATTCCCCATACCTGGTCTCTTCCTATACTGGCATTAACCTGTTCCTAGCCTGTGATATTTTTTATTATTTTGTTTTGCTTCCAAAAGGAAACGAGGACATTTCCTCTTCTCAAGAAGTTCTGGAAATAGTCCAACATGTCTGTGTTGGACTAGCCCCAGCTGTCTCTGCAGACAAGAGATGGTGACAGAGCCCGTCAAACTCTGCTGGGCTTTTACATTTGGGTTGTTCCTGCTTATCCCTGTATCCAAAGACTCGGGCAGGCAGGCAGGCAGGAGGCTTCATGGTGGTCTCTGAAATGGAGCATGATTGAGGCTGCCCTTCTCTAACTCCCAGCTTTTCTGGAGAGAGATTTTTCTCATGGCCCCCTTAATCCGAAACGTTTCTCACCTGCTGAGCCATGGTGTTAGGGTGTTCAGGGGGACAAAGTGCTGTCCCTCCACCATGTAAAACAGTAACAACAGATACCATAACCAGAAAGATGAGATGTATTTTCCTGTTTGTCCTTCTGCAGGAAGAATCACTCCAAGTGCCTGGTGCACTGCAAAATGGGTGTGAGCCGGTCAGCATCTACTGTTATAGCTTATGCAATGAAGGAATTTGGCTGGTCACTGGAAAAGGCCTATAATTATGTGAAGCAAAAACGCAGCATTGCAAGACCAAATGCAGGCTTCATGAGACAGCTTTTGGAATATGAAGGCATTTTAGATGCGAGGTAAGGCGACAGGATGAAGGGAAAGGTGACTTGCAGGAAGTAAAGGAGCTAATTGTAGGCAACTGCTCGTGTTTTTGTATCACAAAATATTAATCTCCATGGAGTTCTGTTCAGGCAATAGGTTCTTCTGCCAATGTCTTGCACACATGCATGTCATGCTCAAAGATGCTGGCAGTGTGGTGCTGTAGTCTGAAGGGTCCTCTTTAGAAGGGCAGATGCAGAAGCCTGGGCTAATTGTGTTTTTTCTAAACCTTTTCTATGCCAGGTCTCCCTGGATGGAAATTAGCTGTCTTTTAGGGAGATCTGCTCTGGTTTAATTCAGTGAGGGTTCTCTGCGTTTGGGGAGCATGTTCGTATTTCTCAGCAGCCAGTACTGTTCAGCAAAACATTGTTCTTGTTTTATGAGGCAGAACTGAGCTCAGGCAGGGTTGGAGGCAAATCATTTGCAGTTCTGGGTGACCATGCCAATCACAAGTCTTTGTCGTTGCAAGTGCTGTAGTATCTAATAAGGGTTTCTGCATGCTCTGCTTGGCCTGGGCTCTAATGGGGGAAGAGGGGGAAAATTTTTCACTCTGGTTCAGCAGGAACTGTGCCATGAGATGTGCAGAGATGTTGGTTCAGAGTGTTTTGCTCTGATGGGGGGGCTCTGTGCCCCTCTGCCCTGAGGGACTCCTCCCAAGGGCTGTTCCCATCATGGGTGCAGTGCAGGGCACTGCTGTGAGTCTGCTGGGCCAAAGAGACTCTGGCATGGGCAGGCGGGAGGGACAAAATCCTGATGCTAAAGATGGTTTTGTCCAAGTGGGACTGGAGGGCTGGACCCAGAGGTCAGCGTTTCAGTTCTGGGTTGTGGAGAGGGAGGGACGTTCCTGGAACTGAGCATCCTACAGTTCAACGGTAGTCACTTGTGTCTTTGTCCATTCCCCCAGCAAGCAGCGCCACAACAAGCTGTGGAAGCAGCAGGCAGAGAGCAACCTACCCCAGAACACAGACGGTACCACTGGGTCAGGCGATTTTTTACTCGAGAGCTTAGACATCGACCTAGAAAACCGCCTGGCTGACCTGGACACGCCTTCGCAGTCGGCATACCTGGACAACCGCGGCAGCACAGAAGTGTCTGTGGGCTTTAATTACTGCTTCCGGCGCCTCTCGGACACGCTGCTGGAGAACAAGATTCCCAGTGGCAGGGAGGGCTTTTTCCACGTGGAGGAGCTGGAGCGCGATGCGCTTGCAGAGCGCACTGCCTCGCTGGTGGGACAGCCTCCATCTGCACCTTCAGAGGGAAGGCTGCTGGAGACAGCAAAAGCCCTGGAGACAGCAGAGCCGCTGGCAGAGCTGAGCAGTTTCTGCGAGAAGGAGGTGAAGAAGAAACTGGACTTCAGCCCCCGGAAGGGAAGGATAGTGCTGGGCCCTGGGGACCGAGGGGAGGACAGTGTCAGGGATGAAAATCCGATGGAGAAGTGGAAGCGGCGTTTGTCCATGCACAAGGAGGAGAGCAGGCTTAATAGAGAGAACTTGAATAACAACAACAGCAAAAGGAGTTGCCCAGAGGATTTTGAGGTGCGTATGGAGTTGAAATGTAGGTGATTAGCATGGCTGACTCTACTGCAAGTGAAACTGCTCTTCTCATCTTCATAGCACAGTTTCATTTGACTTGGATAAAGCCTTTCATTCCATGATGAGCTTCTTCCTTTTCGAAGTGCTTCTGAACATGTCTTTGCTTGCCCAAGCTATGGATTTAGATGCCAGAGAGAGAGCACACACATGTGAGTGCCCTGTAAACTGCTTTGGGCAACTTGCTTGCATGACCATCGCTTGAAACGGTAGGTATTCATTCTTCCATTGACGATACTGTCTGCTGAGAAAGTACATGGCTTTTGTACCTGCTGCAGGGCCTTAAGAGAAGTGGAAATGGGTTTTGTTTCAAATCTGCTTGGCTGTAAATATATCCTGCAGTGTGTGCCTCTCGCTCTGCTGATTGCTGATGTCCTGTTCTGTGCACATTTATCTGTACCTGTTTTCTTTTTTGCAGCATGATGCTGTATTTGGGATCCTCAGTAAGGTCAAGCCTTCCTATCAGTCTTGCACTGACTGCATGTATTCCTCGGCCAGTTTGTCCCCTGACCCCTTTGGGGACCAGTGCGAAAAGTTGAACCCCGGCACTGCGCGCCGCAGCACCACCATCTGCACGCAACCAGCCCTCCTCTCCCACATCAATTCCAACTTGGCGGACCACCTGCCCAGCAAGGCACACTCAGAGGAAGCAATCAGAACTAAAAATAACGAGGCTCCGCTTCCTCTGTCGGCAGGAACTGGTACTTTGGATGCCAGCACTTGCAAATCACTTGATCAACACTGCAGCATTTTGGAGAAAGGAAAAGATGTACCAAAAACCCCAGTCAAAACTCTGCTGCCCAGGAGAAACTCGCACTGTGACAAGAGCTTCCTTAACACAGAAGTGGTAAAAGAAGAGTCTCTAGCCAGAAAAGACAGCAGACCTACCAAGGATCTGAAGTACTTGTTGTTCAGCAAAGACTTGGAAAAGCCAAGTGCAAACAGTTACTTGATGCAGCATCAGGAGTCTCTTATTCAGTTGCAGAAAGCAGGCTTGGTTAGGAAGCATACCAAAGAGCTGGAGCGGTTGAAAAGCCTGCCCTCGGATGCCTCGTCACTGCTCAGAGAGAGCTCCCTGAGCAGAGTCAGCTCCGGCATTGTGGAGGAAAGTGAGGATTTGATTTCACATCACAGCCTCGTACCTCTTCTGGGACCAGCACCGTTGATACCTGAAGATGCAGAAAACGATGTGGAGAAGTTAGAGGTGAAACGCATCTTGGAGGGGATCTCTCAGAAAACTTCCACGCCTGTGATGTGTCGGTTGGAGCACACGAGCAGTTTCACCAAGGACTTCCTGAAGACCATCTGCTACACTCCCTCCTCCTCTCGGAGCTCCAACCTAACACGTAGCTCCAGCAGCGACAGTATCCACAGCGTGCGGGGCAAGCCCGGCCTGGTGAAGCAGCGAACTCAGGAAATCGAGACCAGGTTGCGGCTGGCTGGCTTGACTGTGTCTTCTCCTCTGAAAAGGTCCAATTCTCTCGCCAAGCTAGGATGTCTTAACTTGTCCTCTGAGGACTTATCAACTGACATGGATGTATCAACCATAACAGACTCAAAAGAGGCCGTTTCAAGCGAGTCTTCCGTGCTCTGTGAGCCACAATCCACGCTGAGGAGTGCAGATGTCACCTCCAAACTGGCAGCAAAGCCAGCAGTTGGAAACTTGAAGAACACGCTTTGGATGGGCAAAAGTTGATGCCTTCTGGTGGGGGGGAGTAGGGAGGTGGATTTGGGGGGTTTTATGGCATTTATTCATTGCACCAATGCAGTTTTATCATCTGACTTGCAGTAGTTCATCTGATGCCACCTCTTCTTCCCCTTCTTGTACTCTAAGTGGGGAGGAAAAAAAGCATAATGGGTCATGATGAATGGCACAAGGGAAAATAAAATGTATTGCATGGCTTAGAAGAGGACTTTGTGTGTGAATTGCCTGTTGTCCTGCAGGATGCTATTTCTAGTACTGTTTGCCAAGTATAATAATGTGTTTTTGTGTATGTGTGTATATATAGATAGATATTTGTATCTATTTATCTATCTATATATAAAATGCTGAAATACTCTGTTTCAATGACTCAACAAAATAATTAGTCATGACTTTTTTTTTACAGAACAAACACAAGTCTCTAGTTAAAACAGGGCACTTGTGGAAAAATCCTTAAAATGGTGACATGAACACTACCTCTGTTCTTGCTGACTTTTTGTCTTGGTTTGTTGTTTGCTTGGGTTTTTTTTTAAAAAAGGCTTTCCCCACAATACTTAACCGTTGTTTGAAGGTATTCCCTTAATGTTAACTGCAAAGGCCTGGAGGAGGATGGAGACAGAGGCTTTACCGCACTGAGTGACCTAGCTGTGAAGTGAAGGAGTATCAAGCTGTGTTCGTGTTGACTGTGTGACCTGCTGGCGTTAGTCCGTCTTCGCTGCGTAACCGGGTGAATTGTCATAGTCTCGTGTTGGTGCCGGAGTGACGCCCAGACTGTATTGCTGTTGCAGGCTTACGCTCATGTGGAGAGGCGTCGTGTTCTTTGGGTGTTTTTGCTGTCGTTGTGGTTTGTAGTGTCCCAGTACTAATGACGAGCCTGGCCAGTAAGTGACCATGGACCCTAGTGAAGCTTTGTGTGATGCTGTGTCGGTGTTGTGGATCCTGCGTTGGGGACTCTTCTTCATCAGACTGTTGGTGACATGCCATGCCAGCGAGACTGCCAAGGAGGCACGGCTCTCCTGGTGTCCCCACGCATTTGAAATCCCAGTAGGCAATAGGTGAACGTGTGTCTTTTCTGATTATTGCTGTTAGTTTTGGTAGAATGGTTCCTGCATCCTTGGTTTGCCAGCAGCCTCTGAAGCTGTTGGCAAAGTCCAGGGGTTTATTTATGCTGGGTGTCAGCAGGCTGGGTGGCCCCAGAGCAGGGAGCCCGGGTGTACGTGTCCCAGCTCTTGCAGGGCTGCACCAGCCTCCTGCCAGGAGCGACGGAAGCATAAATCCTGCTCTCAGGGGCGTGTGTGCATCCTTCAGGGTGAGCTGTCAAACAGAAATACGGGCTCACCCCAAAGGGAGAGGGATATTGAAGGTGTGGGTGAGATCTCCTTTCGGAGGAAAGCTGGCATGACCTGCAGGGAGGAAGCCGGGGGCTGCCCGTGCTCTCCCTTGGTGAGGTCCCAGTGGTGCTGCACGCTCTGCAGCAATCGTAGCCGAGGAAGCGTGTCCCTTCCCGCGCCAGAGGCTGGCTCTCGGGCACCGGTCTCAAACCAGTATTACCGTGCTCTCCTCCTCTTGCTGTCCTGCTGTGGGAAACGCTTGAAATGCAGCAGTTCATTGATGCTATATGAAATGCACGTTTTCTTAGAATATTTTGGGCAGCCAGCCAGATCGAGAACTGCTCTGTGCAGGACCTGGCCAAGTCAGGAGGGAAGAGCTTGAGAAGCATGGAGGGGACATGCTCCAAACCTTGGTGCTCTCCGAGTCCCATCTGAAACCGTGCTGGCTGCTTGTGCCTTTGGAGTACTATATTGAAGCAGGTTTGGGGGTCAGAACAGACCTCGGGGGACAGTGATGGCAAAGGGATGGATTTGCTCATTTAGGAACCAGGCTGTGAGTGCGAGCTTGCCCACATTTTAAGATCTCCATTGAAAGCCATTCTTAAAAATCCCCTCCTTGAGGTGGGAGAGAGAGCAGGGCTGCAAGCAATCGTTCTCAGAGTCTGTATTAATCAAAAATCCACTGTCTTGAGAAAGGGAGCCATGTGTTTTGCTGTCCTAAATGCCCTTTTCCTTAAGCATAAGACCCCACATTTTTATATTAGGTGTGAGGAATTGTAGGGACTGGCAATCAGTAAATAAATGTCCCTCCTTAAAGAGTCTTAAATTTGATGTACATTTTTAGCTTAAGGCACACTTCCTGTTTCACCCATGAAAGCTGGTTTGAAGCAAAAGCTGCTGCGTGAGGGGACCCTGGAAAATGTGCACAAGTCTTTGTTTTTTAGGGCTGAGAAAATGCTGGGTCGTGTTCCGAGTAGGACTGAAATACTCTACGAGACGTCAGCGTACCATGGGTGCATGTGCACATCCACATCTACTGCAATAAATTTCCTATATTTGTATCATCTTTACTATCCTTGTTTACACCCAGATTCTGATTTATGAAAGGGGGCAGGTGACAGGGGCACACAGGAGGCCCTGGGGCTGTTTGATGCCTGCAGGGCTCAGGGCAGCTGCCTGGGACGTCCGTTGTGCTTCTTGCCTGGCAAGCCTCTGCCCTCGCAGCACTGCGCTCAGGTTTGATCCCAGCACAGTTTGATCGTCGGCCTCACCTTGCAAGGGCCTTTTGCACGATTATCTTTCTCCGCTGTATGTTACACCGGCACCTTTCTCAGCGCTGCAGACGCTTCCCATTGCTGCCCGGCCAAGGGAAGAAGTGGGGGCGTCAGATTTGAATAAATTCAGAAAAATTCCGTTAACTGATGCAAGCGAACATCTATATTTCCTTCCTGTTTTCTTGAGTGCCTGCCAAGTTCTGCTGCATACAAACCACTGCTTTCCCGGGGCGTAGCTCAGCACTGACCGCCTTCCCCTTGCATGTCGCTTGGACTCAGCTCTCGCTGGACCAACCCCACCACTTCACTCATCGGGCTCCATCACTGCGTCACCGCGATGCTGTCGGGATAGAGGCACGGTTTAGTGGGAGTCAGTCTCGAAGCCAACGTGCGCTAGAAGCACTAGTGTGCCATTTCAAAGGGTTTTGTAGCCAAACCTATGATGCTTGCAGACTTCATTAGATTTGTTGCATGAGAAGGTAGATGTGTTTGTCCTCTCCCACGTATTGTAATTGTTCTTTTACAATTGAGTGCCTTAATAATAGTTTACAAATACTGTGTATTTATGCTGAGCTGTTAAACTCTGCTGTTTGCTGTTCTTTTTTTTTTTTTTTTTTTTTTTTTTTTGGTGTTTCCGATGGCAGTGAGACCGTTACTACTTCTACATATTGACCTCCCGGCCCCACTGAGCTCAGCACTGCTAACCACTTCCCTTCTGCTCTATATATGGCAAAACCAAAAGGGCTGCGCTGAGACACTGCCGTGCCGGCTGCAGCTCCTGGCGCCCCCATTTATCTATGCATTGCTGCAGAAACGCGGACAGGGGGTGTCCAGGGAGATGTCTCATCAACAGCCGGCTGCGCTTTGCTCAGCAGATTGCCGGGTGTGAATCCAAACCCAGTCCCGTTCTGCCAGAAAACCCAAAATGCACAAAACTGGCACCTTATTTCCAGTCCAGGCTTTGTCGGTCTGTGCGATAGCAATAGCCGTCGTCCTGGTTGTCCTTTCCGTGAAGGTGGTGTTTGGTTTGGTCGTGTCCCGCCGTCCCCCTTGCTGGCATCGCCAGCTCTTTGCTGGGGAGCCGGCTCCCAGACTGTGACCACAGACCCGGAGAGGAGGGGTGAGTGAGTAACGTGTAGCTGTTCCAGTGCATTGCTGTACTCTTATGATAACAATGTTCCTTTTATTTCATGGTATTTCTTAATTCTGGTTTTATATTTAAATATGCGGTATCTTTTGTACTGTACGTTCGCAGTAGGCGATGCATAATGCACTTTTTTTTACTTTTGTTTGTAAAAATGTACTGTATATTTTATGTGCTTCTTGTGAGAAAAATAAACTTTTTTTGTTTTCCTTTTACAAATGCGCTTTGCAGCATTTTTGGAAGTGGGGAAGGATCAGCCTGGCCATGGGGAACAGGCCCCACTGGGGCGGGAGGGGGCAGAAAGAAAAGGAGTCGATGGGTGCGGATCATTGGAGCAGCAGCCGCTGCCTGGCTCCCACAGCCCCCTGCCCCGTGTTATCTCTTCCCGTCTGTCCTGGCTGCTCTTCCCTGGTTTTTGGGTCCTGGCTGTTTTCTGCCACCCCTAAAAGCCAGACCAGGAGATGCCTTTGTCCCTCTCACTGTGTCCTTGCAGCACTGGACGCATTTCAGCTGCCCTGTGAGGAAGGTGAGCACTGCAGAAACACACCTGAGCTGTGGCATGGGCTCACTTGCAGGTTTTTTAAGGGGAAAAGGGAAAGAAAGAGAAATATGCTTAATTCCTGGAGGTAGGAGTAGAACTGAAATCTGTAATTCTCCGCCTAGCCTCTTTTCGGAGACCCCAGGCTGGGTTTAAGGAGAAGCTGCTCACCTCTTGGCGAGCGTTCCCCGGCACCAAGCGGACGTTGGCAGTGGAGCGGTCGTGCGTGTGAAAGCAATGCCTGCGCCGTGCTGAGCCCTCCCTGCACGGGGCACGGAAAAGTACTTATTTGGAGAGGGGCTTGGTGCTACTGCAGTGACATGGGCTTTTTAATTCCCACAGACCTGTGCTACAGTCCCCTCCAAAGAGCAAATCCCCTGAGTGAAAGCCGAGGAGCTAAATCGTGGGATGTGGCTCTTCTGCCCTGAGCCCATCTTGCTGCTGCCCCATGATCCCCCCGAGGTGGGACCAGCCCTTCCTTGGGCATTCACAAAATTTTGCCTTTAAAGGCAAATGGCAAGCATCTGTCTCGTGTGCCTGTGAGGAGTCTTGTTATGCCTGGGATTGTTCTCACTCTCAAAGCTGCTTCAGGGAGGAACATGTCAGTGTTTACCTTGGCAGGGTAGCAAAGCGCAGGCTGGGGATGCTCTCCAGCTTTGGCACACTTGCTAATTGCCCTTAGAGTCATTAACCCCCACCAGAAATAACTTGCTTTTTAGGGTTTTGGGGGGTTGACTCGGCTTGGAGTTGGCAGCTGTCTGTCACCCATCAGTTGAGCGCAGCAAAGCATGATTTACTGCCTGCCCTCCCTGCCCCGGCGCTCAGCCCGGCTGCCCCAGGGGGCTGTGACACTCTCACCGGATCCAGCCGCCCAGACCTGGGCAGGAACCGGTACTTGCAGCTAACTTCACGATGCTCACTTGCCAACTCCTCATGCGCACGGAGCTCGGGCCACAAACTCATCAGGGTGAATTAAGTGACTTAAGTCCTACTGTGGCCTTAGCAGAGGCTGGGTTTGATTCCGGTGTGGTAAGGGTACAGCAATATGCTGTGTGAAAGCAAGGAGCTGGGGAACATCTTCCTTTCGCCCTGCAGCTGAGTCTCACACTGGGGTCACACGTGGCATGTGCTGGCTGATGCTGCTTCGTGTCACCGACACATTTCTGGGCAGCACTCACAGGGTCTTGTGCACGGACAGCAGTTCACCAGCTGGGAAAATAATCTGCAAATGACAGAGGGCAGACCCCTGGGCTCCTTGGGATGGGTTTGTGAGGGTTTTGGTCTTCTCCTTACACCTCCGAGCATCTCTGGTGGAAATGCAGCTCTTCTCCCAGACACGGGAGCAGGGTGCTGAGCTGGTCTGCCGCTGTGTGAGCAGATACCTGCTGCAGGAGCTGCAGCATCAGGAGCTGGAACTGGCATCTGACACTCCCCTGATCAAGGACAGAGACCCCCGGGCTGAGTCGCCCCGGCACGGAGCGCTTGGCTGGCTGTCAAGGCCTTCCGAGGGTTGCCCAGACATGCTTATATGATGACACATGAAGGAAAACAACGGGAGCGAGTGTGCGTGTGTGTGTGTACGACTTTTACACCCTGGGGGTTAACTCTCTCCAGCACTGAGCCACAGCAGAACTGGAAGCTCCGTGCTGAGCTGGGAGCCCCAGAGGCTCCCACACACCAGACCTCCGGTTTGGGGAGACAACAGCTTTCTGCTGCATCATGCTTTTGAGGTCCTTGGGACAGAGTCTGTCCCTTAGCCAATGCTTGGCTGGTTCACAGGACAACGCGCCCCACTCCCTGCGGCTTCCCAAAGATGGAGATCTCCCCACCGTAGCTGTGTGCAGGTTTGCATCTCAAGACCTGCATGTAAGAGCTTATATGTTAGAGAGGCACCACGAGACAGGACTGTGGAATGGCCAGAGGGTGCCCTGTGACTGCCGGTGAGTTTGTGTGTCTTTTTGTTCTTGTTATGATTGAAAGTTGGTTCTTTATGGAGCGGTTCTTGTTATGGCCAAATGTTACATCCTGTTGTGATGTTGCTATGGCAAAGACAGGCAACATCTGGAGCAAGACACGTTCTCTCCGACGACCGTCAGAGGGTTTATTTATAGCCTCACTGGTGAAAGGAGATGCCTGAGCATGAAGCCTCTGCGGGCAGATCATGGCAGGGGCAGCCTGGCACTGGGTGCCCTCCTGGTTGGGACCCAGGGCAGTGGGAAGATGCGAGATCTGACCAGATCCATTGCCTCACCTGCCCAGTGGAGGAGCCTGGAAGTGGTACTGAGCAGTAATTGGAAAGGAGCAGATCTCCTTGAAGACCCTCTGACTCCATTCTTTGCCCTTGATGGGAGGAGGATGGTTCCCTACCAGCTTTTCTCTGTTTCATGTTGGGGTTGGGTGACCGCAGGGGTGGTGAGCAGATATTATAATGATGTTATTGGGGGAAAAGATCAGGTTTGGCAGGTGAGTGAGGCTGGTTTTAGTGAACAAAGCGATGCGCACAGAGAAGCAACAGGAGGGATGCAAAGGGCCACTGCTGCACTTCAACACCAGCAGCCTGCTGCAGCAAAGAGGAGAAGCTGTTGCTCTGGCAGTGGGTCTCAGCTGCCTGCAGCCCCAGGGTGATGCCTCTGTGTCACTTTACACTGGGTTGTGGCTGGACAGCCACGCTGGCTCTAAAGGGGTAGAAATGTAAATATTTTTCTAAGCAGAAGCTGAGAGTGGGCACTGCCTACATGAGATGAGCTGGTTCCTGCGATGGATGGAGGGGCAGGGGATGCAGGGCTGCAGCAGGCGCAGGCCAAGCTGTGCTGCCGGCGAGGCTCCCGGTCCATCCAGCCATTGCAAATGTGCTGCTGTTTGGAATACGTGTGGTGGCAGGTCCTCTCTGTGTGTGCACATACACACACATGCATTTTGTATTGATACGAGCAGCTCTGCTGCTTCAGCCAGGGGAGCTGCTCAGCTGGGGAGCAGCTGATGAGCCGGTCAGGTTTGCTCCAGCCTCAGCCCTCACCCTGGGTGTTGCATATTCCCTAAAAGTCTCTTCCTCTCTGGTTTGAAGGACGGGGGCAGCAGGGGCAACACTGCAGTGGCGACGCTGCAGCAGCTGCCATTTCCTTTTATGCAGACGGTTCAGCAGCAGAAACCACATTGCTCCCATGTCAGACTTTCCTGAGTGTTTAATAAGCAGCTCACAGGGAAGTGGTGCAAAACACTGTAGAGCAGGGTAGGGCAAACCCAGGTCCAATGACCCAGCTGTGCAGCTTCCACACCAGCCCTGGGCTCTATGACGCCCACACAGGGCAGGCCAAAAAAATCAAGATGATATCTCCAAATCATGACAGTTTGTGAGAAACCTAGAATGTATTTGGCTTTGGAATGGGGAACCAAGGGCGTTGGCTCAAGGGGAAAAAAACCAAGTTATTGATCAGGTCATCGTGCCACTGCCAAGCATGCCTCAGGCTGGTGAGTTTATCCCACGGAGAGGTGACTTGGCTTTAAAATTCGTCACTCACGCAACTGTCAGCAAATCTTGCCGCAGCATTTCAGTACCTGGTGGGATCGGTGCTGCAAGGTTCCCCCCCTACTGCCGGTGTCTGCAGGGAATATCGTCTGCTCCTTGCTCAGCTCGGGAGCCTGGCTGCCGGCCCCAGTCCTGCTGGGAAGCGGTTGTGTTTGTTTTGGGCAGCCTCAGCGGGGATTTAAAACTTCCAATGGTAACAAATGGTGTTTTGTCTCGCTGCAGAGCAGCTCTGCAATGTGCATTGATAAAAAACTATCCCTTACGAGGGGGCCTGGCTGGCTCCTGGGCTGATAAGGGCTGGGATAACCGTCATCCCTTGCTCCTTCCCCTTGACGGTAGCCAGCACTCGCTCCTGAGCTGGCTCGTGGAGCAGGGGACGAGGTGGTGGCATCACGAGAGACCGTGGTCCAGGTGTCAGCCACACAACCCATGTGAGAGCATCAGCTGTGCTCAGAGGGCTGCTGGGGTCCCTGGGGGCTCTGGATGAGGCCCCAGCAGGATTTTCTGGCCCGCCGAGTGTCAGCAGGATGCCTTTAGCCTGGGGTCGATGGGCAGGTTGCTGGGAGCTCTTCACAAACTCTGGGCTGATATTGGGGTAACTCAGCCCCTGCTGGGAAGCAGCACCTGACTCAGCCCCGGCACTGCGGAGGTGCCTGCGGAAGCTGTGCCACTGCCTGTGTCTCTTTAGGGACCATTTAGGTGTTTTCCTGCATCCCGCTTTGGGATGATTCCCGGGATCGGGATCAGGCAGCCAGCACCTCGTGCACCATAAAAGGCAAAGCGCTGGGGAAGAGCTGCTGGGGTGGGAGCCATGGCAGCCGCTGCGGTTCGCTGCAATGCCAGGCATCCCGGCTGTGTATAAATGGATTTGAGCCCTCCAGCTCTCCTGCTCCCCCTCCTTCCAGAGAGTTTACAGGAGCCCGTTTGGCAGAAGGATTATCCAAAGGGAGGAACTTTCTGCTTGGAGGATTGTTTAGAGAAATGCCCAGAGCGTTAATAGGGATTTTTGTTAAGTTATGTTTTGGAGTCTCCTAAGGGA